CTACAATTCAGTGTCTCTGCTCTCAAGTGCATTTGGCTTAGAATTGTTGCAACTTTGGCTTAGAATTGTTGACAGATGAGGCATGGTAACTTGTTAATGCTTAGCTCACTAGGTGCAGCGTCTCAAATTAGTCCTGGAATGAATCTTCTGAATTGCTCAAAGGGCAGGGCGAGGGAAAGCCCTCTCTGTTTTTGGGGAGGGGATAGGTGACCCAAGTGAACTAGCAATGAGCACTATGAACATAAGGAGGGTGTGTGCTGGGTGGCTTTTCAGTCAAAACTATACCTACAAAAATACTAAAGTTGGGTGAGGACAGCTGAGTAGTTAGCAGTAATAAAAATGCAAAGGAATTATTTTTGCTAATGCTTAATTCTAGATGCTATTACCTGTGTCTTTCAGATATTTTTTGGAAATGTTCGTTTTTATATAACATATTGCAGGCAGAAGCAAAATTTAAAACTTCTTGCCATGGTTTAGAGAAACAGACTTTGTGTGACGCAGTGAAACAGCCATGTGGCTCTGGTGTTAAAAAGTGCCATGAAAGTAGTATTTATTTCTAGCGCAGTTGTGCATGGCTGCTGGATGTTTTAGGCACTTGAGTTTCAGATGGTATGTGAGACTGGGGGCAAGGGGAGGAAGAGGACCAGCTTGAGAGGACATCTGTGCTGTGGGAACCCCTTCCACCACATCTGTCCCGTCCTCCGCACCCCTGCAACATGCCTGCTGGTGTGGGTGGCCAGGCTGAGCACTGCAGTTATTCATCTCAGGGAAAATACCGCAATTCAGTATGTGAGGAGGGCTTACTGTAGCCATGCGGAGATGCACTACCACATCTTAGCTGGTGGCATGAAGGATTCAAGGCTGTCTGGACCTCCTCTGCTTCCAGAAGCAGAGGAGACTGAGCAAGCAAGCTGGATAGACCGGAAGCAGCCGCTCCTGTGGGGAAATAGTCCTAGCTCCAGCATGTTTATGTGGGTGTTGGCCAGAGTGGCAGCAGGGCAGGACCCTGTGCTCCAGGAGAACCATCCAGAACAGACCGCCATCCTGGTGAGGCCTCACTGGACTTGATTTTGCCCTTAGAGTGACAAAAATCCCATTGAATAAATAAAGGAAAGCTAAATCTAGCTCCATATTGTTGTGGCAGAAGTGTTGTTTGGAACAACCTACTAAGGCAATGGGCTAAATTCTCTCAGGATTAGCTTTAGCATAACCTTTGACAAAGTATTTCTGACAGAGCATTTCTTTGCAAGAGAGCCTGTCACTGGAAGCAAAAAAAAAAAAAACCTGCTTCCATCTTATCAGCAGGAGCATGCAAGAGCAAAATTTACTGAAAAGCATGGGCATCTGGCCATGATGTATTGCCGTATTTGAGGTGGCACAACCCTTCAGCTCCTGTGTTCGGCTTCTGGGTATCACCAGCCACACGATGAACTCGGACTTCATCTGCTGCCTGTGAGAACCTGCAGCAGTTCCACTCAAAAGCAAAAGCTTTATTTTCCTCTCTGTAAGAGTAACTCATGCTTCAAGATTATGAAGCTCCAGGCAACAAAAAGCTCTTGTTCCTATCCCATGTTACCAAGCCTGCTTTGCAATTACGCCACAAAAGAGCATCTGCAAGTGCCAACTAAAACAGTCTTCAGAGGGGAAACAGCCAGGCAACTCCTGCCAGCCGCATATCTCAATCCAGATCATCGGGATATAATAACTGAGTAGTAGTATTTTCTTAAAGTACCCTGGGCTAAATGTCCTGATCCAGGACACAGGCCTGCAGTCCTGGAGTTGGCTGTGGCAACCATGAGTTCTCATTTGCTGTCAAAGGGCAGCTAATTTAATGTACCTTTCCTTTGAAACTCTTCCTGCCTAAGCAATTTTCTTGCATTCTTCCACAGCTGGAGGGGCCTTTAGAAGACTTCTTTTTTGTGGTAGTGGCCATAGCCCATGGACGATTTAGCGCCTGGACAGTTGAGCCTGTAACGCAGAAGAGCAGGCAGGGCTTGGTGAAGGAGAGGTGAGGCGGTGGCCCAGGCATGTCTCTACTGCGCACGCGCCTTGTCGTGAAACTCCTTTGAGCCCGTGGGCACGTCTTTTAACTCTTCATGCCTTGATTTCCTCAGTTGTGAAATGAGAATAGCAGAGCTGAGGAAAGATTTAGGAGGTGTAGAAATTTGCTGGAAGCAGCTACTGAAGTGCAAAATGTCAATGTATTGAGGGCAGCACCCTCCCCCCCCTTCTCATAGTTCAATGCTTTCTCTTCCTCCTGGAAGCAGGAATAACAGAGCTGATTAACTGAAAGATAATTGACTAAAACAAAGCACCTGAACACTTTGGAACTTAGTACAGCTACTGTTTAATTAAATTTGGGTAGTTTCTTATATAATCCTATATGATTCCTTGCATACACTTACTCATAGCTTGTTTTGTTTTTATAATTTAGACTAAGTGTCTGCAGCTTTCTTTTCTTGCTAGTGGAAAAATCTGTTCACCTTATTTTTAAAAGTTTGCCCTTTCCTTATCATTAATTCACACATTGTTACTGGAGAAGGGAATCCTGCCAACTATGTGCTCTTGGAGAGCAAGATATTTGCAGAGGCTCTGGGTCCATTATATCTCTGTCATCCTGTAGGTTGCAGTTTGGCAGCTCCATTGAAATAGTTTCCCCAGATATCAGTGCCTTTCCCTGGTCTTTGTTGCCAAAATAAAAAGCAAACTTCTCAGAGAAGTGGAATATCAATTAGTGCTTCCAGTATTCCAGAATATGGTACCTCATTCACTGACATTAACTTTCAAATTTTCTCACTACGGGATAAGTTTAAGATAGTCTTTCATAAGTTTTTTCCCTGTGAGCCTGATAATTTGGATAACTGCTTGCTTATTGAATCTGGTAGGGAATCAAATTACTCTTAAGTCATGTTTACAACAGATTTTTTTATCTATTAAAAGCAAACAAATCAGAATTATCCTTTGCTGTTCAGAGTCAAAATGATCATAGTAGCAAGTTCTTGTATTGATTAATCCCACTTCCAAGAATCATTGGTCACACTTTCATAAATTTATTCCACTTCTGAACAGTGTCAAGGAAAGCTTGTCCTGTACAGCACTGAATTTTCCACTCCAGAAATAATCCCTTCTACATGGGGTTGTTTTGCAGTGGTAGCTTTAGACAGCTTGCTTCTGTGCTGGTGCCATGAGTCGGCTGTGGAGCACCACACCTGAAACTGCACCTGGCACAATATAGTTGCTAAAATCAAAGAGGAGTGTCACTCAACAGCAGGAGAAAACAAGAGCATAATACTCAATGAGTGAAACTGTTAAACAAAGTCAGAGGACTGCAAAGAGGCAGAGCCTGGTGCCATTGTGTCTGTGCTATGTTATCATCAGTTGCCTTAACAGTAATGCTAACAGCAAGTGGAAATATATGCACCACTGGAGCACTTCTACAATTAATTTTTCATATTTTAATTAGCCCGAGTGCTTTATTTTGGACTGTCTGCTCTGTTCCATGCAACCTCCCAGGACAGCATGTTTTTGGGAGGGCAGTGACACCTCCGTCAGCTCCATGCGAACAGTGCCGATGTGGGTGTCACCCCTGTGTTGTCCCCACTCTGCTCAGCTTGATGAGCAGAAGCACACGTCTTTCTTCCCACATAGTGGGGCAATAAAACCTGATGGTGCCTCTGCATGAGACATGTCAAGTGTCTCTCCCAGAGCTGACTCGTGCTCAGTTTCCTCTTTGGGTTACAGATACAGGTGTTTGATACCTCCCAAGGTTCACTCGTTCAACAACTAAACGAGATCCTGAGAGAACCGTAGTGCCAAACACCATGTGTAGGTGCAACATTCAGCTTTCAAACACATCTGCAATGTGCTGAGGTCTTTCATGTGCTGCTTTGATCTCTTTATCTGCCCCAGTGGTTTGGAGGACCAGGTAGCCCTCTTGAGCTTGGGTGCTGCCAGCCCTCGTGTTGTACCTAGTGCTGTGGCTCCCGAAGAGCCAATCTACCAGAGAGCTCTTTGGAACGTTTCAGCCCTCAAATGATGCCTTTTGGGAGGTATTTTTCTTCCCCAGTCTTTGAGAGGCAGGTTTAATTAGAAGCAGTGGTCCCCTTCCTCAGGGACTCTCAAAGATTTATAGAAGATGGGTAGTATCTAGGAAAATGCTGAGTGAGACAGATTCCTGCTCCGAATCGTGAAGTGAGATGCTTGAGGCCAAGCTATTGAAGGGAGGTTTGCTGCCACCCAGGAGAGGGTTGAGTGGGACTGCTCTTCCATGCAGTAGAAGGGCCTTTGCCCAGTATTTTAGGCAGCAAAATAATGACTTATTTAGGTATCTAAACAAGTGCTGTGTGGGTGTTTTTCTTCTTCCCTGTTGGGACATTTAGGCAAAGTTTTCAGTCTTCTGTTAACTGAAATTTTGGGCCACTTTTTAGGTTCTTACACAAAAATTGAGTGTTTTTTTCTTTGAAATTCACTTCAGTTTCGCCTTGTGACTGGTGAGTCTTAGTAGGTAGCTCAGCCTTCAGAATTACCATGCTGTACTGCTGTGCTGAAATGGGCATAATGATATATTAGTAGCTTCAGAAGTTTCACCTTGATATTTGTTACTGCATTTAATTTGACTAGCTTTTTTGTTTATACAAATTGCAAAGGATCTCATTCAAACAAGCAGTCACAACTTCATATTTTTGTGAGATTGATGCAAATCTTTCACCAGCTTAGGAAAAAAACATCTCTCATTTGAACCAGGTACCTGAGAACCTCCTTTCTCTTAGTGTGTCCACTTTTCAGCTTGAATTAGGGAAATGCAGATATGAGCAAGAATATCTGACACGAGCATGTTAGTTCAGAGTGACTATTACCTACACTAGCTTGACTATAGCTATTTGAAGCACTTATTTCAGACTCCAGGTAATGTACAGCCTATACATACATATTTAAAAGAAGTCTGAGTTAGCTCCCTATTCTTATAGAAGCTTAGCTCTATAATATAGTCAAATATTATCTAAATGACAACAAATTAATTCTTATCAATAATATTCCTAGACAATTGTGCGAAGCAAGCTGGTCCCACGCATGTTAATATTGTTTGACTTTTCCTGTCTTTGTTGAAGGGACTTTCTCAAAGTTGGAACTGTTAAACCTTGTTGCAGCTGGAGGAACCCCACCCAAAGTGTTCACATGCTCCTTCTGCTTCCTTTAAACGTTCTTCTGCCCTGTCTGTGATTTATCGGAGTAGCGTTAAACGCTGAGGCTGAATGAAGGTCTTCTAGAGGCTACACCAGCGGATTAACGCTAATCAGAGTTCACCTGGGTGCTGGGGGGAAAGTAGCCTGCCCACTGAGGAAGGTGAAACAAGGACCTCCGCTCTGAAATGCTGCTGTGAACTTTAAGATATTGGAAACCAGCTTTTTCTGCTCCTTTCCTAAAAAGGAGGAGCAAACATACTTGAGGTAGTTAGGTGTCACTGTTTTCAGTCTCCAAAGAAGGTGCTGTGTAATAAGTGCTTTTCAGGATCCAGAAAGCTCTTTGCCCAAGCAGGAGTGCCCGGCTCAGGTGGTCCCTTCTGAAGCTTGTGCTGTGGGTAGTCCTTCTGAAATGCCCTTTAAAGAGACTTGAGCACCGAGTGACTCACGTAGCAATGTGTCAGGAGGAGTAGTGCTTTGGGGGTACCCTTAAGCCTGCTCATAAATCTGCTTTAGTAGTGATTGTGCTCCCTTCTGGTGTTAAAAATAGCCATTAAGTCTGAGCTAGCTGAA